TTTAGGAATAACTCACTATTCTTTATAAAAATTTTCTAATATAACACATTTGGAAAAGGTTTATAATTTTACCTGTGAGGGCCATCCAGGTACTATGATCATTGGTAACCTCTGTTATAATTTCCCCACAGGAAATAAATAAATAATCCCCAGGATTGTGTCACTAGATGTTAATCGGACTACCTTACAATTTTTTTACGCGTGTTTCATATTTACATTCGTATTGTGCTTTACTAACTTTTGGGCTTCGCTTTATTTTTTTTTTTTTTATTTACATTATTTTTATTATTTTACTCTTTTTATCGCCTTTACATTTTACTTCTACGTTTAACTTTTTTCAAACACTTATTTTCACTTTACCCTTATCATTTCTATTTTACTGTGTATATTTACTTTGACTTTTAAAGTTCTTTCGATAAAATGTGAAAAATACAAAAAAGAAAAATGATTCAAATAAAAATTAAGCATTAAAAATTAGATTTTTCCGATGATCAATATGAGACCGGGAATCTTCTGTGGGAAGATTACCGGTCACAATATGATTATTATAAATATAGTTAATGACGTGTAAAAAATAATAATGAAGGTAGTCATGAGTGACACTTAGTACGACAGGGGATTATTTTTAGAATTTCTTGAGATTATAATGAATTTTTGTAGACCTTAATTTTATCTTGCAACTGTCAAAAATAATGTAGACTAATCTCTGATTATATATATATAATATTTACCCCTATACATTCTCTTCGATGAATACTGCACAATCTTCAGAAACACCAAGAGAACGTCAAAATCGTCTTGCTAGAGAAGCTTATGCATGTCGGAAATCATCATTTACAGCTGAACAACTTGATAATCAATGTGCTCGGCAACGTGAAGCTTATAGAGTTTGTACTGAGACTGAATCAAATGAGCAAGCAAACCATCGGCGTAAAACTCGACGTTCAACATATATGCACAATGCTCAACAATCACATGGAACTAATGCTGCACGTATGCAGGTATATAATACTACCTCTGTTATCCGTCACCAACTAGGATTAATGGAAGTAGAATGTTTGCAATGTGGAGCACTCCATTGGTTAGAAGAAAGAGTAACTGGTAGTGTGATTGCTCCAATTTTTAGCACCTGTTGTGCTAATGGAAAAGTAATATTACCACCTGCTAAACAACCACCAGAACCTTTGCTTTCATTACTTATTGGAGAAAATAGCAGATCTCATAATTTTCAAAATAACATTCATAAATATAACTAATTATTAGCATTTACATCAATGGGTGCTAAAATTGATAAAAAAGTAGTTGGCACACAAGGAGTTTACAGTTTTCGGATCCATGGTGAAATGTATCATCGAATAGGTTCACTTTTACCAGATAGCAATGTTGCACCTGCCTTTTCTCAAATTTATATTTGTGATACAGAAGAACAATTAACTTATAGGCAGTGCATAATGCCTGATCTGGACCATTCAATTCTTGAACAGCTTTAGGAAATGCTGCATAATATTAACCCATATGTTTGTATCTTTCGACAAATCTCATATATTCTATATAGAAATCCTGTCCCAAATCTAAAATTAGTTATTATTAAAGCACATAATGAAAAACAATATTCAATTCCAACTGCTTCAGAGATTGCTGTTCTTATGGTGGGTGACGGTCAAGAAACTGAACCATCAAATAGAGATATTGTGCTTTACAAACAAAATGGTAGTTTGCAGCAAATTTCACAAATACATCCTTCTTATATTCCATTACATTATGTATTACTTTTTCCACATGGAGATCCAGGTTGGCATCCTAATGTTCTCATAAATAACAGTTCATCAAATAAATAATATTTTCAAATACAGAAGATCATTATATTACTATGATGCAGTATTATGCATATCATTTGCAAATACGACAGCATAGTTCAACAGAATTATTTGCATTACATAGAAGTGGGCATCTGTTTCAACAATATATAGTTGATGCTTATGCATGTATTGAACAAAATCATCTTAATTACTTAAAACATAATCAGAAAAAAATTCGTGCTGAGCTATATAGTGGGCTACAAGATGCACTTTCTGTTCATGATGAAATACCTCAAACTGGATCCCAGATTGGTCATCGAATTGTACTTTCTTCCAGTTTTGTTGGTGGTTCTCGCTATATGCAACAATTATATCAAGATGCAATGACTATTGTTGGACAAATGGGCAAACCAGATCTATTTATCACTATGACATGTAATCCAAATTGGCCAGAAATTCAATTAGCTTTACTATCAGAACAAACTTCTCAAGATCGACCAGATATTTGTGCTCGCATATTTCGATTAAAATTAAAAGCTCTTAAAAATATTTTTAAAAATGGTATTTTTGATAAATCTCTTGCATATATTTATGTTATTAAATCACAAAAGTGTGGTCTTTTGCATGCACATATGTTAATCGTATTGTCACCTGATTGCAAACCACGTACAACAGAAGATTATGATTGCATTGTATCAGCAAAATCCCAGATCCTCATAATCTTCCACATGAGTATACAACTGTGATACAATGTATAATGCACAGACCGTGCAGAAAATATAATATGCACACACCTTGCATGAAAGATGGCAAATGTTCAAAAGGTTATCCAAAGCCCTTTCAAGCAGTAACCAGTCAAAATAAAAATGGTTATCCCATATATCGTCGGTGCCAAAATGGTCGAACTGTTAAAGTTAAAGGAGTTGATCTTGATAATCGATGGGTTGTATCTCATAATTTATACCTCTGTAAAAAATTTAACTGTCATATCAATGTTGAAATTTGTTCTTCAATACATGCTGTTAAATATTTATTTAAGTATATCTACAAAGGTCATAATCATGCAACAATAGCACTTAATAATGATAATACTGTAGATGAGATTCGGCAATACATTAATACACATTATGTATCAGCACATGAGTTTGTTTGGCGTATTATGCATTATAAAATGCATGATGAAGCTCCCAATGTTATACGTTTAGTAGTGCACCTTCCTGGTCAACATTTAGTTACTTTTTCTGATGATTAATTTTTAGACAATGTTGCTCAACGAGCACAAAATCAAAAATCTACTTTAACAGCATGGTTTGAAGCTAATTGTGATCAAAATATTTGCCAAATAGCAAATGACTTGACTTACTCTCAATTCTCTCACAAGTTTGTTTTTGACAATCGTACAAAAAAATAGAATCAACACATTAGTGGTCGTACAATTGGTCGAATATATTTTGTACATCCAAGTGCAGGTGAACGATATTACTTGTGCATGCTACTTAATGTTGTACATGGTACACAATCTTTTGAGCATCTGTATACTGTAAATAATATCCTTTGTCCAACTTTAAAGACACATGTCAAGCATTAGGTCTTCTACAAGATGACTTGGAGTGGGATCAATGTCTGAAAGAAGCAACAGAAATAAAATCAGGTTATCAGCTACGACAATTGTTTGCAACAATTTTGCTAAATTGTTACCCAACACAACCTAAATGACTTTGGATTAAGTATAAGAATAATTTAAGTGATGATATACTCTATAAATTGCATCATATATTACACAATCCACATCATCAATTAACACAACAAGAAATTGAAACCTATACATTGCATGAATTAGAAGATATCCTTATACAACAAGGCAAATCATTGAAAGATTTTCCTGATATGCCAATCCCTACCACTACCTATAATTTTGCTAATCGCTTACTAAATGAAGAAATAAATTATAATCAAGCTATACTTTGTGTTTTTCTTGATCAAAATCTTCCATGCCTTAATGAAGACCAGCGACGTATATATGTTGAAGTAATAGAAGCAATTGAACAAAATATTCCTATATATATATTTGTTGACAGGCCTGCAGGTTCTGGAAAAACATTTCTCTATAAAATTCTGTTAGCAAAAATTCAGTCAGAAAAAAAATTGCACTTGCTGTTGCTTCTTCTGGTATTGCCTCATTGTTACTTAATAGTGGCAGAATAGCTCATTTTCGCTTCAAAATTCCTATTCAGTTAAATGAAGGTTCAACATATAGCATATCTTTATAAACAGATTTAGCTAATCTTTTAAAGCAAACTGTTCTAATAATTTGGGATGAAGCACCTATGTTACATTGTCATGGGTTCGAAGCTGTCGATCGAACATTTTGTGATATAATACATACAGTTAATCCAAGATTAAAGCATGTACCTTTTGGTGGAAAAGCTATTGTCTTTGGCGGTGATTTTAGACAAACTTTTCTAATCATTCCAAAAGGCAGAAGAGAAGATATTATTAATGCCTATTTATTGCGATCTTATTTATGGCCACATATAAAAATAAAAAAACTAACAGTTAATATGCGATTACATATGTCAGCTAATATTTTAGATGCAGAATCTCAATCTGAATTTGCCAATTGGCTACTTCAAGTTGGTAAAGAACTTATTCCTGAAGTTCAACCAGACAGTGGCTTTATACATTTGCCTTCTGATATTGTTATCCAATCTAACACACCTCAGAATTTAATAAAATTTGTATATTCTAACTTACAAGCCTATGTTCAAGATCCCACATACTTTACAGAAAGAGGTATTCTTGCACCACTTAATGATGATGTTGATATGCTTAATACAAAAATTCTTGCCCAATTTTCTGAAAATGAAAAGACTTATTACAGTGCAGATGCATTAGATAAAAATTCTAAAATATATAATGCAGTTCATGAAAGTTTATGTTCTACAGAATTTTTAAATTCATTAAAATTTAGTGGGTTACCTCTATATGAATTAACACTTAAAGTTAATACTCCTATCCCTTAAATTGTAACACAGGCAAATTTGCCTGTGTTTTTATTAAAAAGTTTGATTTTTTTAATAAAAACTTATATATTAATTTTAGCTATATATTTTCTAAGTAAAATATTTAATTTTAGATTTGTTTT